CTCAAAACTGGAAGAAACTGGTTTGCAGTATTTCAGAGAAGAACACAAAGTCTTTTTATCTAACTGCTTAAGGCTTTACTTCAGATGAACAATCAATTTCCTGTACTTCGATCCAGTCCATTACTTGGATTATTTCCTTCAACTAACGGCAATTTTAGTCAGACAAATTCCTGTATGCGTGTCAGAGAGCAATACTCAGCAGCTACACTTACTGCAGGCAAGTTTCTAACTTCTTAATGAATTCAGTGCCATGAAGAACAAAACATGAGGTCAGCTGGCCAGTTTTATAAGGACATGCACTATTTGACGCTCTGGATTTTTCTATCCTTTCGCACCTCACCTCCAGGCCCAGTGACACTCATCCACTTCTGCTCCAATGACAGACAGCTGAATCTAAAACTAGCCACGTTCCAGTGTCAAATCCGTATGACACCGTCAGCTCTGCTCCTTCCTCTGGTCTTTTAGATTAATCCCCTAGGCAGAACTTTACAGAAACTTGGAAGCTCTTAACAGTTTCATATAACATCAAAAAATAATATAAAATTGTAATAGTTACAATTTCAATCGGTGAATGAAAAGAAATGCTTAATATTTGCTATTATCAAAAACAAACCTAAAAAAAAACCCTTTTCAAAAACATGTCTTTAATTGAGAACCCTAATAATGTCTGCCAAAAAAACACAACACATCTGCAAAACCAACCAACTCTGTTACCTTTTTTCCTGGGGGAAAAGACAACGTGATAACCTTTCTCTCCTTTTTAACACTGCTAACAATGGCAGACGTACGTTGTCATCTCCTTTTTTGAAAACTTTTAGGCGCCTTAAAATACTAATGAAAACTAGATTATTCTCGGTTTTATATGTGCATATGCAGGACCTCTGTGCAGGCTACTGTGTCCTGTGGGACACATGGGGCTACTTAGGCAGTGACTGCAGTTAAGCTTGCCAGCGTTGCACTGTTTTCTTGGAAGTTCAAGAAGTAGTGCCTAAAACTACTGAATTCCCACTCCAAGTGCATACAGGCAGCGGGGAATAGGCCAGAGCCTCTTACAACATATTACTGTGGAAATAGAGCTCTGCTTTATTAGGTTACATTTGAAAATGGCTAATATCCCCTATGCCTGTCTGATCGCCAACTCCTGTTTCAAAGCGCTTAAATCCAATTCACCTCAAGCCATCTGAAGTCAATCTCCAATTAAATAATTCCTTTAAATCCTGTTTTACCCATCCAAAAATGGCTGGGCTTGAGTGGGCTGCCACTAAACGAATCCCTTTTGAGGGCCTAGTGAAGGTCGGCATATACGCGGTACGTGCACGTGGTGAGCAGGCGTGTGGTGGGGTAGCTCCTTGCCAGAGACCTGGGGCATTTCCCTCTGCCCTGGTTCCAAGGCTCAGCTCCATTCACTGACAGCTTCCCCCACAGCAACCTGCCCTTCGGCAAAGGAGGTGCGCGCCAGAGCGACTCAGGAGAGACGCAAGGTGCACCTCTGATAACAGTTAAGTACCTCCCTTTTTTGGCCAATCTGCAGAACTAGACAGGAATTAATTCTCATCTGCTGCTAGGAAGAACAAAGCGGATGCTGAACCAGAAATCCAGTTCCAATACCCGTTACAAAGCAGCTCTTTTAGCCCTCGGAGGACTATATTTAAATAATAAAGAGGAATTCAAAAGAATAGTATTAGCATAACATTATGTATGAAGCTTATGATTTGTAAGTATTATTAAAGAACACCGCAGCGTCAACACGCATACATAGCGTAGTATCAGTGAACGATGCGAAAGGAGCGGAGAAACAATTTTTATAAAGCACGAGTATCTCTCCACCGTGGTAAAAAAGGTGAAGTACTCATGGCTGCATTTCTTATTGCATGTGTTTCATTTGTAAACGTTACTGCAAAATCTCTGTGTTATAACAGTATGAGTGTTTTACAGATTTTATTCAGCAGAAAAATCCAAATCATAAATACCCTGTAGACACTAAGAACACTTCTAGTACATTAAAAAAAGAGTTAACAAGTGCCCAACTGATTCTGCAGAACCACCAGCCCATGACAGTCCTTGAGTTACCTGAGCACTAAACTCTGCATCACACAATGACTTTATATTTCATGTAAACCAAACCAAAGCCATAGATCCCAAGCAGTCTGCCAATACAATTATGGGTAGCTGGATCCTGTAGGTGCTACAGGTGACCTTGCAGTATCATCTTCCTTACATCGTTTTTCACCTGGACACCTCTGCTCTTAGAGCCACTCTGCTGGTCTAGATGGGGGGAGGGGGGGGGAAGTAAGCTCTGGTCCTGTCCATTACCCTACTCTTGGCCACAGAGACAGGTGAAGCTGCGCCTGCCATCATGTACAGCATGTACAACCAGGTGGGCCTTCTGAAGCAGCAGGTGACAAAAACTATCATTCATCACCAGCAACTTCAGCGCTGCTCTGGTGTACGTTTCCCTTCAAAATCCTTCTATGTGCCACACTGGTGAGCCTGTAGCTGCCTGACTGCAAGTAGCAAGAGAGTGAGATATGGGAAAGATATGCCAAGAGACAGCTCAGATTTCATCCTCTCGGACTTCACCGGCTCTCCTCTCTGCAAGCCCCAGATACACGGTTGCATGTGTACAACCATGTAATAACACAGTTTGGGGAGGGTTCCTGCTATTATGGCTTGAACTCAGCACAGAAGCTGGGTAGAAACGGGTCACAGTCTTGTGTGTGGGTCTTTAACGTGGTTAGTGAGTGAGTGATGATGCCCCAAAACCCTGGCCAAGCACACAGAGCCTCGCTGCCCTTGCAGAAACCACGTTTTAGAAATGGATCTGTTAGCACGCTTTAGCTGCCAGCACTGATACAGTAGAGCTCTTCTGTGCTGTCTACAATGTAATGGGGACGGGCAGCCACCCCAAACACAGCTGTGCTTGGAGATTTCCTCTCTCGCCGCAAGTCTGCGAGTCTGAGCAGAGGTGGAGAAGCAGCAGCAGCTCTGCTGTGCGCTCCTGTCATACCGAGTATTTCTCCGCTGCATGCACGAACAGCCCCCCCTCCTCTGTTTTATCATGGATATGGACAAGGTTCCCCGGACAATTTGTTTCTTTTCCTAAAATGTTCAGCAATGTTTACAGAATGTAAACTAGTCAGGACATCTTCCCCAGGGACAGCTCAATCAGAAACCCAAAGATTCACAGAAAACAAAGTTAAAGGATGCTGTCATTACAGAACTTCAGAAGGGTACCAGCGTCTCTGGCCCCTCCTGCTGCACATCCAAAATGTGCAACAAAATAAGCAGATGCTGTGCAGCCTGAACAGTGTGACTACAGTTTTTGCTATACTGCCTCAACTGCTCTTTGCACCAGCTGTTCCTGGAAGAAGATGCCATTTAACCGTTCCTCTCTTCCTCTGATGCTCTAGAAGAAAGACAGAGGGCATTTTTAAAATTCTGGCTTTTTAACAAAGGGAACTGGGCTGGGCTGTTGCGTGCTGGCACTTTCTGCCTTCTCCTCCCATGCCCTTCCTGTGATGCAAGCACGGTACAAGACACTACAGGTTGAAATAATATTTAGGTGTGCAGCTGGGCTCATTATTGCTGTAATTTAGAAGATACAACCAGCCATTAGCCTTTCAGAATACATTCCTTTTTCAATAAAGTGGCAATTTCCAGAGGGCAGTGACCATTAATGAATGACAATGCACCAAAGAAGAAAGAGCAAAGCTGAGAGTCTGTCAAAAATCTGCCTGATGTGTCCTCCCTGCTTAATTAAGGGAAAAATTTTACTGTAGGAGACAAGGAGAGCAAGTCAACTTTCCCATGAGATACCTCCTTCCTTTGCACGTTAGAAATAATCTCTCTTGGCTTTGAATTACTGGTGCATGAGCAGCTTGTGGCAAATAATTCTCCAGGATTAAATAAATGGCTGAAAACAGTGAGCCAAATTCATCCTTTACGTGCTGGATCACCCACGATGATTCACGGGTCTTTTTCAAACCCACCCCATTGTACCAGTTGAATATTTCCCCCAAATTTTGCAAACACAGCTGCCTCCAGACTCTGTTTTGCTGCCTTTCCCTGCAGGCACTGAGCCAACACCAACCAAAGGCAACCCACAGCTCCTTGGCGAGCGAGCAAGCTCGCGGGCAGCCAAAGCGGCCACCGGCTCCTTGGCCCCAGCAGCCCTGGGCTGCAGCAACAGTGTCCTGCCTTCCCTTGCCCTGTGCCTCTGAACCTGTCTGCAGCCAGTCGGGCCCCGAGACAACGCTTCCGAGCTGAATCAAACGTCTTTCCCTTCTGCAGTCCCACTGTGACAGCAAAAAGCTTTCCCAGGCTTTGGAAAACTGCTTCAATCCAAATAAACCCGTCTGCCAGAGGTCCACAGCCTCAGCGCTTTGAGTGACACAAGTCAGCACAGCTCCGTGAAAGGTGCTTACCCCAACTAAGAATCTGCCTGGCATTATTTCCAAAGTCACTTGTCAGCATTGAAAACACAGTTTTCAGTAAGTGAATGATCTGAGTGATTGCTAAAAGTACAATAAAGTTACATAAATACCTATAAACAACGTACAATAAAAAGGTACTATGTTTAGATTCAATCATTTCTCTATAGTAGTGAAAAAAACAGATACAGTAGCACTGTCAATGTGGGAGATCAGAAAACGAAGACTGTTTATAAAATACAAGTTATGCTGTCTAGAATACTTGCTTCGTCAAAAATCAGTGAAGTCAGAAGAAACAATAAAAACAGTGCATTTTTCAAGAACATTGCTTTGGGGGGGGGGTTTCTCATATTTAATAATGAGAGATACGAGAACACAAATAAATAAACTGGGGACCCAAAACTGTATTTTTAACCTGGTAATGTCCCACAAGGCAAATATTCCTAAGTGCATTTATCTTTTCTCAGAGCAGATATTGAAAAGCATTACCCTCTGTCACACTGCTGTCCATGCTCAGTTCTATATGCATACCCAGAAAGACTACATAGGATTGTGTATAAATATACATACCCGACTTGGGTACAGTCTCGATATGGCAGCACTGAAAATATGCTACAGAAGGATCTTCTGCTGCTGATAAGGACTATTCTAAAATACAAAAGAAAATAAAAAAATCAAAGACTAAAATTTAAAAATCCCACCGCGATATGCAAAGCAACAGATGTTATCATTGAGGAATTTATAATCAAAACCTTCTACCATTGACAATTTCTCTCTCCTCTTTTTAGCATGCAATCTTTTTGATCTCACAGATAAGGTACTGCGCAACCGAATCTTTACAGAAATGCTGACGGCTGTGCCTTACATTACACAGCTCGTGGAGTCCCATCCCCTGTAGAGGCTTTCTCAGAAGAATATATTGAATACATTTTACTGCTAATCCAGACTGGATGTTTTTCTAAAAGTCCTAGGGGAAGAGAATCCATCAGGAGAGCCAAGCAGTTGTTCTGATAACTGACCACTATGCCTAAAACAAAACAAAAAAATCCAGCAGCACCCCAGCTGATACACCCCAACAACCAGCTGCGATACGCACCACAGCTGTGTGGCTGACACTGAGGTCTGCATCTACGGGAGTCCAACTTCCAGCTACTGGTCATGACCTTTGTCTGCTAAACCAAAGGACTCCCTTGATTTTCAACTTTCTGTTCCTGAAGTAGATTGATTCCCAGATCAAGTTAAAGTTCACAATTATCATAAGCCTTCAGATCCTTTCACTGTTTTCCTGGTTCTTCCTTGAGTTTTCCCCAGTTTTTCCCATCATCCTTCATGGCCTATGGGCATTATCAATGGACTCAGCTATTGCACAGATGACAGATATAAACATCACGTAAGCTTTGGTCTCAACTTTAAGGTCCAGCATGTTGCCCTGACGATTCCCCAGCCTCTACATTCAGTAATCTCATCAGCCCTCTCGCCTATGATGCTGGATTGACACTCAGGCATGACTGATCGCATACCTCCTCCTCACCCCTTCTCCTCCAATGCCATGTCCTTCTCAGGCCCTGCCAGACCAGGGCTGAATCCCTCTTGTAAGCACAGCTTGCATTCATTCACTATAGGGAGGTTGCTCAACATTTGGCTACATGAAAGCATACGTTATTTGCCAGCACAGAGCTTGTATCAGAACCCAGGCTACTCTTAACAGTAAATATCTTGTGTTTCTCAACCAGTCTCCAAATCTTGGCGTCATCTGCAGAGTCACTGTCTGGCATTTAATCAATCAAGTACGTTAGAGCAGCCCAACCACTTTATATCCACATTATTACCTTTTGCCACCAAGCTCTAATGTATCATTAAACAACATCAAAACTACCTTAAGGTCAAGGCTCACTTTCCATAAGCCTGTGTAGACTGCCATTAGCTACATAATTAAAGTTTTGGGAGAAGCAGATGGGCAAGAAGCCAAGAGAAACCTGATCAAGATGTATGGCTATATAATAGCAATAAATAATTGTTTATTCATAAATATAGCCTCTTTCCTCACTAGCTTCAGCTCACTGACAGTTGTGCAATTGTACAATGTACAATGAAAAGACCCTTCTTCTACCTGAAACTGGCCTATAGGCTGTACCCCCATCATATTCCCCTAAGACATGATGATGGCACTTCTAACATGACTAGCATTAGAATTTACTTAGGCTGACACTAAAAAGCTCCACTTACGGTGCAAAGTACTAGTATCTATTGCTTGGTTGTTTTTCAGTGTTATTTAATTTCTTTGGTCTGCTCTCCAACATTGATTTTTCTGATGTTGTTTACTGCAGTAAACAGCGCATCAGTATGGGGCCAGGATTTCACCCTTATTTTTTGTCCTTTGTCCTACGCTGGTCAAAGTGGGATGACAAACCCTAGCAAGCTATCTTATTTTGTGGCTGGCTGAAAATCACCATATATAGGTGTAAGTCTAGTACCTGTTACGCAGCCGTTTAAAGCACCGTTTCCTTATGGGAGCAGCTTAGTCATAATTCTTGGAAATCAAATAAAAGGTTTATGTCACCAAGAAAGTTGCTGCATGTAACTTAGCTGTTTGGGAAAACGCAGAATGATCAGTTTTCCTTCTCCTAGATCGTTCTATTATAGCGATCCTATTTGCTTCCTTAAAAGCATATTTAAAAGTAAAGTGGTATTCACCCTGTAATAAAGGAAGGTTTCTAATAATAAACAAGTATATACCATTAGAAAGTTCTCCTACAGCAGAAACAGTACCATCTCACTGTTCGTTTGAGTGCCGTAACACCCATTACCTGTGGCAAGCATCTCATAAGCTATAAGATGCTGTCATGGTGCAGTAGTAAGTCATAAAGCAGAGTGAAATCATTTTTCACATTTGGGCAAGGCAGTCAACCAGCAAGAAAACCTGGCAGAGGATTAATTTTGCGCTTGCCATTGCTTATTGCTGAATGGTTATTACTCACAACAGCTTTCTTGTTCACTGAAAGCCTTGTTTGCTGATGTATGAAACTTGGCACAGATTTTGAGGCTGACATCAGAAAGCATCTTTGAATTCGGAAAACCACAATTCCCACTAGGCATTTCCCCCCATTCCCTCTAGCTGCTTCTAGAAATACAGCTTTTCCACCAATACCCCACTGCTCCCTCAGAAAAAAACCCTCCTAATATTTAAAGAAAAACAAACTGGTGCCTTCCACATCCACAAGCAGGGGCAACACTGGGAATCTACCATGGAAAAGTCGCTGTATGAGAAGCAATAAGATCAGGGAAATAAAAAGCATCAGCTTTGATTCTTTTTCATTAAGACCCAAGCATTGCCTCTGTGTTTCCATAAACTGTGCGACCCTCGATACATAAAGACCTTCCAAACAGGGTGGCAGAGGAGTGCCCTACCTCTGCTTGTAAAGGCCTCTATGGCTAGGATGCCACAAAAATCTCCGTTAGTGGAGCTTTTGGAGGTGGGTGCAGAACAGATGTAGGAACTGGGCTGGAACAGGCGTAGGGAAGGCAGCCCAGGCGTGCGAACAAAGCTGTGAAATCAGAGCAGTGAAATCTCACAGCTCTGCAGCTCCCCCGAAAGCTCATCTCAGCGGCCACTTCTTGAGGAGACACAGCACTGACACCTCCAGGGCCCACTACAAAAAGCAGCCAAAGACAGGCAGGCTTTTTATGAGGCCAATGGCATCCTCAATCTCTTTCACTTGGTCCAAAAGGAGAAATGACCAACTTTGTGCCCCAGGAAGATGAGAAGACCAGAGCTGGTCCACGGTAATTGGTCAGAAGCTGAGCGCAGAAGCATAAAACAGCATTTTATTTAGAAGTTAAGGTTTATGAGTGGCAAATGAAAATTTTGTGGGCTGATGATAGTCTGTTGGTCCAGAAAGTCCAGAAATTTGTTTTAAGTATGCTTTCAGAAGGCAGGTAGGGTGGAAGCTGGCTGTTGTTCAAGAAAATTGAACTATTGTTTCAGAGAGAAAAACACTTTCCTGGATTGCAACTCTTCAACAAAAAGCGTCTAAGATACTGCACAGCTCTGAATCAGCTATCTCAGCAGAAGTCGTCCAAGTCGGAGAGGGTTTACATGCCCTGATTGCCATTGTGCCATGTAGACATGTTTAAAATTACTGCATAAAAAGCTTTTCATTCTCTCATTCTCACATTTCATCAAAAAGTTGTATTAACTACTATGGTTCAGCGCAATCGTTATTTTGCAAGAGGGCTCGGACAACTGAGAGTGTAAAAGCTAATCTTCCAATTTCCTTAATGAAATGTATGCTATGAAGCTGCAGATACCCGCTGAGCACAACGCTCTCAACAGAATCAGCACCTCCTGACTAAAAGAACTAATATCTGTTTTCTTTGGCTTCTGCCCTGGTTTTATTGGGTAACACCGAAAGACTTCAATCATGCAATGTAACATACACTATTTAAACCCTATACACTCTAAATATCATCACCCCTTTTCTCATATCCGATTCATTAAGTTTGACTCCCCTGCCTCCAAAGAGCTAACACATGAGCCACGTATGTCATTCGGGTGGAAGACATCATTTTGGAGTCTTCCCAAGTTTAAGCTGGGACTATTTGAAAGTGGCTGAGAGTAATTATGAACGTTGAGGACACTGCAAATATTCAACCTCTGCACGTGTGCGCGCGTGTGTGTGCCTGTCCCCACGACTCAAAGGGCAGCAAAACAGCTCAGGGGTCTGCTTGTAAGCAGTAACATTTTACACCATGCCCTTTTGCAGCCTTTGGGTTCTGTGTGGTTTTGGCCAAAGAGTATATAGCAGAACTACACGCTAATAAAAACTTGAAAAAGGAATAGCACGGGGGTGGGCGAGCACTATTGTTTTATTGCTTTTGTATCTGCTACATGGGACAATTCTAGAAATGTTCTTGTCACATTCTCACCCTCAACTGTTTGTTCAGCTGGCTCATCTTGCTATTCTGGTGGCCTTTTCTGCTCGATAGGAAACCTGCTTCACAGTCTGCGAAAAACACCACCAATAAACCTGCTGAGTAAAGGGACTAGGTTTCACTAGGTGAAACCACACAGAGGTAGCTCCACTTGATGATTTCTCTGTTAGGGTTGGCTTCATTTTGTCTCTTAATGCCCAAATTACTTTGTGCTGTTTTACAAGACTGCTTTGGTAATGCAGTCTAGGAAACCTAATCTTCTTGTTCCTTTAATACGCCATGTGCTACAAATCCGAAGAAACTGGTTTAACCAGTGCAGAAAACCATCAACAGGAAGCTAACAAGGAATCACTGATGCACTGTGGGCTGCACAGGCGGTTTCTCCCCGTGCTGAGCTATTCCTAGCCAAACTATTATTTTAACTGCGGCTGATCCCATGTTTCCGCCGGATGGCCAAAGGCTCAGCCCAGGGCATCGTCGCCCTGCGGGTGCCTCCCCCGGGCCGAGGAGTGGGCGAGCTCTCACCACTGCAGGACGAGGACAAGTCGCTTTGCAGAACCGATGGGAGAGGCAGAGCCACGAGCAAGGGCAGCTCACCACGGGGAAGCAGCACCGGGCCAGCACCCACCCTGCCTTCCGGGGGTGAATCTCATCGGCACGCACCAGTGAAACAATCACTGAAAGCATTTGCTGCTTTAAAGCCCAGCTCTCCAGTTCACCACTGCAAAATATAGTTGTGTAAATGCTTTCCAAAGTGGGTTCTTCAAGCTGAAGCACCTGAGGGGTGGCGTGCAGTAACAGACGGGTCTGAGGTCTTGGAGAGCCCCATTCAAGCCTGACCCAGCCCCGTGCTTTTGGCACGGCCACATCCAGGCTGCCTGGGCCAAGATCCCGGACGAGGGAAAGGAGCCTGGGAAGATTTTCTATCTATTGCGATACCTGTGCTCCCCTGCGCTACAGGGAACTGGGGAGGATGCAAGCAGTGAAGGTTTCAAAGCACTCAGGAACTGCTGATTTTAGGATGAATACCTAAAACAGATTCACCTGAATTGCCAGAGGCCCTTTTCATCTCGGGTGGCCATTAACTCCAGTGACTGCAGAGGTGTTCAGACTCCTTGCAAAACTAGGGTTTGTACTCCAATTACTTACCGCTAGATTTAGCTGTAACAACAAAGTGTTGACTTTACATTTTATTTTTAACTAATATCTCTGTGACTCTTTGCCGGCAGAATGAAAAGCGTTTCAAAAACAGTGTATCTTATTCTTATTATATCTGTGTTCTAGGTAAATGGATCTTTATTATGATTATGAAAATATTCTGCAAAACTGTGTGTGCTGATAAAGATAAGAAGCCAGCTGGATAATAGAAGCTTACTCACTGCTTTCTTAACAAGAAAAATATTCTGTTTTCTTATCAGACGTAATTACTGATAATATAAACCCAGATAAAATGTTGCATGTATTTGACAGATACATTTTTCCAACAGATGGAGAAAAAAAGTCTTATTTTTAGACTGTTCAGGAACCAAATATTTATTCTTTTTTATAGGTAATACTTCTGTCACGTTTATGCATATATTTTACATGCACATCTCAGAAATTAGTAGTTCTTTGTGGAATATGCATAATACTTTAGGAATAAACACTTTCTGCTGTAAGAATTTCCCACAGCATATGTATACTTGTTATGTACAAAACAGACTAAAATTGGGGGGCTGCTTTTTACAGTTTGATTCCACATCAATTTGTTGTTAAGGCAATAATCAGCCATCAGTCAGACAACAGCTAAGTCAATAGTTTTGCATGCATCTGTCTGCAACAAAAGCGACGTCTAAGAAGCTACCACCTCTCAGAGCCACATTCTGAAATATTTATGTTGATTAGCATCGTTCACTACATTTAATTGTAGATGTGAGAATACTCATGGGGAAAACTTTACTCTAGCCAAGGGACACCTGCCAGAATTCAATTCAGTCCAACAGTGTATTAGAATTTCTATCGATACGGTTTCCCATTTGGTGAAAACCGCAGGCTATGCGCACACATTGTTGCATGGGAGTGTACGTGGTTCTGCTCTACTGCAGCCGAATGTGAACAGATGCATGCAAGGGTCCACTCTCAGCGGCACGGTTTAGTCTGTTTGCTCTCCTGATGCTTAGCTTTGGAAGGACAAGAGTAAAACCATAAGGTACATGGAGAGGCCACCTGGGAAAAGATAGAGGATGGGTGTCGTCTTTATTAGCAAGGAGGAGCTAGTTTCCCTTCTGAGCTGGGTGGCACTGGAATAAAGACCCTATTTTGCTGATGGGAACACCAGGACAGACACCATGCCCTCGCGGTGCGGAAAGTCCCCCGCTGCCTGCTGCTACATAGCTCCACCGGCGCCTACGGCTGCAGTCTGGGTAGTGCGCGTCCCAGTCGGGATGTGCGCGTGGCCGCAGCTGCACCTTTCACACATCTCCCGTGTCTCTGGGGGCCCCTCTGCCTACACCTGCCCTGAAAACACCGATCCCGCTCACCACCTCCACACACCCGTTCCCACCTGCACATACACCAAGGAGCAGCTCACAGACAGGAGGACACGACCGCGCAGTCAGAATCTGTCGCTGTGCATAATTTCTCTTGAAAGACTCGGTATAATCTTAATGCCTTTCCCTGCAGCTGTTTACTCAAGTCCCTTGCCTGATAAGCCTCCTTCACTAGACAGCCCTGGCAAGTGAGTCAGCTTTACGCTTCCCCTGACACCCACTAAGAGGTGTAGAAATATCATTTGGCTGTTGCCAAACTTGTTCCAGGCAGGTTCGGCCATGTGCCCCCTCTTACGCTTACCATCTGGCACTATCCTCAAAGAAATGCAACCAGATCATGCCTAGCCTACCCTGACGACACTACTGATCTTCCTTTTACACAGCTATTTGTGTTATGGAGACAGAGACCTTAAAATCCTATTGGAGAGCCATTCCATTGATTAATAATTTACTTGAGCAAGAAGTGTGCATTACAGCCTCCATTCTCAGAGACTCTTTTAATGGCTGTTATTGACTGGGTATTTGGTAATTGGCAGTGGGTCATTTTGCTCTTTCATGGGGATACTGAAACCTTCCCTTTCTCCCCTGCCCCACAAATTGCCTTTGAAGCAGCAGCCTTTGCATGCACAGTACCTGCCGTTTCTGGTATCATGTTGCCGCATGTTCTTGATAAAATGAACCTTCTTAAAGTTCTTTGGTCTGGGTGATCCTGAGAGAGTCCGACATCTGAAAAATAAATCAGTTGGGAGGGGGGAAAAAAAAAAAAGAAAAGAAGCGCACTCAGTTCCCTGCTGTACAGCATAGTAGCCTACACAAAGGCAGGAAGGAAAGACTAGACAAATGATTCAAGTCACCCTGTTTCAGGAATCAGCAAGAACAATGAAGACAGTAAGTCTGGAAAGGTGACAGGCTCAAATGAAAAAATATTTAAAATAATAAGAGAAAGCACCACCACCCCTCCCTTCATGCAAAAAACACATTTAAAAATCTCAGGAAAATAAAACTTCCTGTAACCTGCTGTGATAGCTTAGATTTAGCTTTCAGAGGAAAAAAAGAAATAGAACCTGGTAAATCTTTATGTGATTCCCTCCCCCCCACCCCACACACCCCAACACACACACTTTTGTTTCTTCCTCAGCTTTTGCTAAGGGAGTTACTGAGGAAAGCTCTTACTTGTTTTAATTTTAGAAAGACTTAAAATCTCTCATTTACAAGGGTGATCCCTGCTTGCCTTTAGCTCTAAATATCAATTTTCATGATATGAAAGCATATCATGACAGCATATAAAAAAACTGAAAATAAATTACCTGGGAAAAATATATCTTCAGAACATGAATCCTTAAATTTATTTTACATCTGAACATGCTTCTTAAAATTGCAATTAGAGAAAAGAAATTGCCCCAGAAAGGAGCAACAAGACAAACAAACACCCCCGTCCCACCTGGCTCTTTTTATCCAACCAAAACCATGACACGCTGTGAAAGCTTTCTCCATTCCACCTCATCACTGCTTTTTGCTCCACCACCTCCAGAGCGTGGGCACCAAGGCAGCTCCTGAGCTCAGTGGGCAGCCGGGGATTTCAGCACAGCTTTTTTGGAGAGTGGAGTTAGCAGCCAAGGCTATCTTGGCCTCCAATAGCTACCAGATCTGAGGGCAAACTGCTGCAATGTGTTGTGTTTTTGACAAATCTTTCCCCTTTTCAGACTGGAGGAGGACGTTGGGATGGGTGGAGGAGGACTGGGTTTGCTGTATTTCCCTCACTCCTATCTGGAGAGGAAAATGTTACCCTACCTCCACACTATGAAGACCCTGCTCCTGAAATCACCCCATCACTTTGCTGCCGCCTTCTCGTTAGTAAAATCCTTGCGATTCCCTCACTCTCGAGTTGCAATTACTCCTGTTTCCTTCTTCACAGGAAAATACCACCAAGAGAGTGATTCTACCAACAATTCTGTGAATTAGCAAGTAAATTTACTGCCTCACTAACCGTACTTTGTTTATATCTTCTGCCAACTACATATGTTTGAATCATTTGTGAGAACACTTCATAACATGCTGGTAAGCATTCAGCAGTAGGCTTTGTAAAAATAATCAAGTCTTGGTAATAGGCCAGTTGGTAGAGTCTCTGCTATTAAGTCTTTGCTTCCAGGTGGGGAGAGACAGCCAAACTGCGCGTGGATAAACAAGGCTATAGGCTAAATACCAACATAACCCAGCCGAATTACAGGTCTCAAGACAAAGAGACATTCAAAAATAAGCCGCTGCCTGGCTGCACAGCTGACCTGGAAGTGTACCAGGCACTGGTCAGAGGACTGATCAGTCCATTTCGGAGTTGTTAAACAGTTGCTCCATTTTCGCCCGCTCCAGAGGATGCCTAGGGACTAACTCCTGCAGTGCCCAGAGAAGCTGTTGCCTTTTGGATGTAGAAGCAAAACTGTGATGAAACTGCTGATTTAACATGGATGGGAGCAGATTTATTGACGAGGTAGTCATCAAAACCCAACCATCCGACACACAAAGACAGTAACGCTGCTTACTGAAATGAGTTTGTGTGTACTGAGAGAAGCAAACACCATAAAAATCCACAGAAAAGAGGAAAGTGCTAACCTTAAAAAGCTTACTCTACTAAATATATTTTTACATGTATTATGCTAAGGACTAATCGTTCCTGTTGGTGACAACTAAACTTTCTTCTCTATTCATCAAATTTAAATAGTCCCTTTTTATTTAATCATCTAAAGCCAGATAACGTCTAATTCGTGTCATCTACCATCTTGCAGGGTGTGTGAGGTTTCGATATCTTTACCCACTATGAAGAACATCCAACATGCACATTTAGCCACTTTTCGACATGGGCAAGGACAGCAAGTTCGTCCATGCACGTGCCCTACAGACAAGTAACCAGACAGAGAGTAAATAAAATGACCTCCGCAGTGGGGCATTTTCCTCAATGTCCTCCAGAGTCTCCAGAGAAGATCGCTGGGAGATCAGCCGACGCCTGCAGAGACAACAAAACACAGAACATCGCCGCCGGTTAGAGGGCATAAGAAAGTACTCAGAGCTGTTATTTAGCCAAGCTCACAAACTGCACGTTTAACTGATCTGAGCTGTACGTTTGGGTAGTAATCAAGTTTTATTTTGTTCCGTCTTGCTTATCTTAAAAATTCAATTTGATTCCAACCAGAAACAATCTATTTCATAAAAGCTTCTATATCCACACGGAAACTCCCAACTGTTTCTCCTCCTTCGTTTTTCCCGTTTTCAAATTTTCCTTTCTTTAAACGCGTTCAACACCCACCTAACACTAGTTCCTCATTTGCCGTGTTACAACTTGCCATACTTTAAGTACAGCTCTACAACAAACAATGAGGACGGAGAGGTATGCAGGCTGACTGTGCCATTCACACTGTTACGGGCCATGCTTCTTCTTATAACTATTCCTCTTGGCTCTCTGCCCACAGCTTTTACCAAAAAGTGGCACTCATTTCTCAGTAATGCCCATTCTGTTACTATTTCATCACCTTTCTGAAGGGTGACTAAACAGAGGAAAAATAATCACAGAGTTTGTAGTACTGGGTACAGGACAGCAGTTTAAAACAGTGCTCTATCACTCTGAGCAGCACAGATTTACGTTCAAACCAATTTTCTTCACTCAAGTCAGATCCCTCCCCACTCTTTGCTGAAATGAAGTTGCAAGAGAAATTTTATCCTTTCTTTTCAAGTTTTCTGATTGTTCTAGTGGGCAGGGAAGAAGCTCCAGCACAGGGCTGCCTTTAACTGCAGCCTCCAGACACCTGGAAAACAGCACAAAACTAAGAGCTGTGCTCAGGCTTCCAAAAAACCCTGGGGGGGTTGGAGAGGGAGAAGAAAAAAAAACAAAAAACCAAAGACAGGCCCCCCCCAACTCCGTGATTTTATATCCAGTGATAAAGGTCCTCATACACTATTGCACTCCTCATGCACTGTTGCACTCCAGTTACCTTAATATTCTTCCCACCAAGCTGCCTGACTCCCTTGATCTGCGTATAAAGAGTTTCCAGAATCGGAAAATGTTATGAGCACCCCCGTGCTTGGAAGGGCACTGATTAATTTATTCCTGGGCTGTAGTTTCACAATAAATTGTTTTCACTGATGATGCCGTTGTAACGAGCTTCTAATCCTTCCTGCAATTTGCTAGCCCCTCCAGTTGCGCTGCTACAACTGTTCCTGGAGCCATGCTAGAAATCAGATTACTGAAAAGTTTTCAACTCAAAATAACCTTGAGGTTCAGTGATTCAGTTTACTACTAGTTCAAACACCACATTTCTATCTCTAACCTCTAGACAACACATTTCAAGACAGTTTGAATGTGTATGTGGGTTTTTGAGTACTTAGAAAATCATAAAAATACCCGTCAAACAATTTCTAGAACAACTAAGTGCAAAGCGTAATCCTCTCAGGAAAATGTGTAATGTGAAAATATGTAAACCTAAATCCCCTTAGGCTTTGTCTAAATTAGAATTTTATAAGATCTGGTACAAGACAGCATGCACCTTCAAAATGCTACTAAAGATGAGGAGCTCTGCATTTTAGGATGTGCTGACTTGCTGACAAAGACAAAGAAGAAGACACCAGCCATCTGTCTCCTGCGCCCATGGGTGCTCCCTTGGCTCCACCTATAGTCAGTGGACAGAGGGATGCTCTTCTAGGGAGAAATTCAAAGCAAGAGGAGTTCCCTTTCATTTTCAATTCCATTAGTCCATAAACAAAGGTCAGAGGTTTCAGCTACCAGTACCACTTGATGTGGCAAACGACAGCTATTGCTTTTTAATAGTTCTTTACACGTTATTAACTTAATAGCGCACTTAAACAATGATACCCTCCCATCTTGTGGTGTTAAAATGTAAAAAGCATACTAAAAGTTTGCATGTTCACTAGTCAGAGAGAGATTAACGACACTACAATCTTGCTACCTTAATCCTATTAAATGTATCAAACCAATAATACAAAATTTCACCCAGATGCAGCTAGATGCCGTAAGGCGCTTGTACACTAGGTGCATGTTCCAACTACGATCGTAACTCTCCTCCAAGCCTTCCATCAGCCAAAGTTACACATCACCCTCAACTTGATTGCCGATGGTTTGGTGGAGATGGGTTTGATAATTGTACATCCTACGTTTGCATCTGTGATTAAAGCAGATGCATTCACTGGTTGCCAGAAATACACATGGTTGCATTTCCTCAACTCCAGGGCAGCTTTAAATGCTGGTCATCCGGCTGTCCGCTGACTGTTCAAATTCCTTTGGCACCCCTTGCTGTTCTTAACTGTCCTGTTACACCCAGCACAGTGGATGCACGCTGCCTCCTGAGTTTTGGCTGCTAACTGGGAACACGACACAAGCCGGAAGGGAATCACTGCCACGACTCTTGGCACAAAGACCTTGCAGGGATGTTCACCCGTGGTGATTCTGCAGGATTTGGGGGGCTCTAAATAGGGCAAGTAAGTTTCCACAGTTTCCAAAAGAAGTAGGGAAAAAACAAAAGAAGAAGGGAAAGCCGTCATGCTCATCCAAGCTTGGAAGAGGAGCACTGATAGCTGAATGCAAACTGAACTCTGGATAAATCCACTGAGGAAGGAATAAAAGAAATGAACAAAAGACCAATTCCCCAGAACCGAACGAGTATGGGTCTCACCAAAGCCTAAAATGATTTAAATTGAGGCTGCCCCAGCCCACTCTCTTCCCTGTGCTGGCCCTGGGACTAGCGAGAGCAGGTACATCCAGTACCCGCAACTAATCCAGCTGAAAACTGCCCCATCTTTCACCTTCCCCAGAATCGTCAATTTTAATCAGTCCAACTCCTTGAATGCTCACAGGAGCACTGGTGGGGCAGGCTTGCAGCAACTCTGCTTAAATGAGTTTATGCTGCCTGGGAACTGCCCAGTGTTTTCACCGAAGAACCTCAGCCACAATGAAGTATGTGCAATTATTCCTCTTATCTCAAATCTTTATTTTGAGGCCTAATTAAGATGACCTAAATACCAATATGTATAAGCCTTCCACAGCTGGATATTATTCCACAAATGCCAACTAATGAACTTCCCTACTGTGAACTAACTCACATCCTGTGCCATGTGCATATGGAAAAAAAAATTACTTTTGGAAAAGTAAAGCTTTTGAAAGGGTCAAGGAATACAAGCAAAACCAGTTTTTCCATTGTCTCCATTAAAAATTGATCACTTCAACTTGTGTTTAACATTTAAAATCAATTTATCATATTCCTCTCTGTAGGCAAGTGGTCAGGGCTTGTCTATACAATTTTTAAAAGGGTTACTCTTTAAAAATTGATTAACATATTTCACCAGCTCATCTATGTAGACTTCAACTGAAATAACCAAAACTGTTTTATATCACAAATCACAATCATTCTGATGCAAAGCTGCATTGATACCCGTTATTTATAGTAAGTATCTTGCTCCAATAATAACTGGGAGAAAATCCTTCTATTGTTAAAGAAGAGTATCTATACATAGACCCAAACAAAACAGCATTGTATGACTCATACAAGGTTCATGCATCTGGGATAAGTCTATAGGCATGAGTATAAAACTTGTATAAAACTTGTATACGGTATATCTTAGCCAGTTAACACACACTGAAACACAAGTGGCCTTTATGATAAAACTAAAGATGTTTCAGTAAAAACATTATTTTCTCCAGGTCCAGGCAAAGCCTCAAAAAATTGTTCCTCTAGTTTAGCTACCTTATCCTAGGTAAAACAAACTCACCCCCCTCTCCCCTCACCGTGATGCATATACAAGAGAACATTTTTAGCTCCTGAAAGACGAAGACCTACTACTTTTAAGGATCAGCTCTGGTAGCACGTTCTTGATTGCAGTCTCACGCAACTTACTGACTTTTCTATTTTAAAATAATGTAAATCACTTTTCTTTAAAGATCTATCTAAAATAAACTTTTCTGTTTCTTCCCTGTTCACTATTCCTCCTTTAACATGAGACCAGAAATGATGAAGACCCTAAAATCAAATTCCAAACCAAACCCAAAGAATGAGACAAAAGAGGTATTTGGTGCACTCGTATTTTAAACTTTTGTTTTCCAAGACATTCATGATTCTGTTTGCACACTGGATTTACCGATGACCAGATGTCTGAGTCTCTTGGTAAGGGTCTTAAAATCTAAAATGTTGTCCATTTTCCACAGATTAATATGTCTCAGTTGCAAAAACGAAATAAAGCACAAAGACAAATGAAATAAAGCAGATCTGTGACCAAAGGAGCAAAAAGCCAAAATAAGTACTCTGCAAAAAGATTCACTGCAACCAACCCACTAATTTCTGGAAAATTAACTTCATCATCAATCGCTGCCAAAAATTCAGCTCAATTATCACACAAAATCTTAAGCCACCTAGAAAAGAGATGATACAAAAAAAAAGGAGCTGTAATCAGAACTCTGGATAAATCCATCCATCCATCCATCCAGGAAGTAGATGATAATCCAAGAGATAAGAAAAAATAAATCCATGTGTAATGACTTTCTAGCACAGCTACAAAACCAGGAAGAAATAGCTACACTTAAAATATACTTAATTTTTGTAGAAGTTGTGGGCGTGTAGGTCCCCCTTTCTTCCATTAAGGTTATGGAGCCACAACTTCTGAAGCCAATGGTGCAGGTATTGCTGCCTCCCAGAACACAGTCATCCATTAGGACAACCTCCTCCTGTTTGTTTGGGACAAATTATTTTTTCAGGACTTTTACAGAGACACCTGTCAAGTGGGTATTATGCAAGCCCACCAGCAATTCACCCAGGACTCATGATTTAAAGGTCTTGAAGAAACCGAGCTAGATCTGTAGCTCTGTTTCCATCTAAGAAATGCTCTACTTCAGATGAACAAATATCAGCACAGTTCATTATTGCTCAGAAAGTTACATGTGCCTGGGTTCATCACTGCTACGCAAATCCCCTTAGAGATACAATTACCATGGGACACGCTAGTACT